AGTTGGTCACAGACTGAAGTGTCTGAGTCTGTAAGCTAAGACAACCCTTTTATCTTTATAATTTGATTATCTCAGGTAAAATATGTTCTGGTAATGAAAAGTCAACTCACACCATGGGTTTTGATCATGATTTGGAGAGAATGATCACAACTCTGAATGTGCACATCAACGGTGGAACCTCAGGCTCCAGATCAAAAGATAAGGAGCATCCAGTTACCATCGGTGAAGGGGGACTTCACCAAATGAAAGGAAGAACCAGTTTTATAGCCCAAAAGTGGCCTGGGGCTGAGGCCCCCCCCCATCTGTTGGCTTGTAGGTCCTCATTTTCATTTCCTGCACCCACAATGGACTGGGGTCCTTGCAAACTGCCCGTTTCCCCGGTGACCTTGTCAGGGGCTTCCAAGTAAGTTCAGGCACTAGGAGGGACCAGCGGGAAATTGGGAGTGGGAGGACGACGAAGCTGGTATATCTCTAACGCTCTCCTGTTCAGCCGCAGAGCAACGGGAAATCCAGCTGACACTCCCTGTCCCCCTGTGAGCCGGCCCAGCCTGCACCAGGGAACCGGACCCCAGGCTTCTGAGGGCCACCTCTCCCCGGAGTCCCTCCAGCCCTGAAGGTGGTCCTGGCTGCCTTCCCAGCTCATCCCCAACTGGCTGTCCAGATCTTCCAACGCCTTGGTAACTGCTCCCCGGTATTAAATCCCCTCTATTAGGCTGCCCGACCTGAGCGTCCACTTCCTGCCCAGACCCTGCCCCATCCCATATGTTAAAAATACCCACTAACTGAGGTATCAATTCTGGGTTCTTAGACTCCATTTAAATCCTCATTAAACACTTCTATTTTGCCTGCGTTGAGAGAATTAGTCAAAATTGCTGTACAAACACACACCAAAAAAACACTATTATCTTATTAGAATTAATATATGTAAATTGTAGAAAGATTAAGAAAAGAATAACCAAAAATAATTATTTAATGACTTATAACTCAGACACCCCATGATGGTGACATCCCTGTTAATGAGGCATGGTATTCCCTTCCAGCTCATTCCTGTGCCCCCACTCACCTTTGTCTGAGATGATAAGTTTCCAGACGTTCCCATAGGTCTTATGAATATAGATCTCAGGGCTCTCCATGATCTAATTCCTCGACACTTTACACCATATGTGTCTTCACTTGAGATTTTATGCCTTTACTGTCTTTCCACATCAATAAATAAACAGGGACAGCCATGCTAAGCGGTAACTGCCAAGCTCAGGCACTCCTCGTGCCGTGGTGGGGACGGACCATGATTTATCCCCCATCCCCCGCCCCCAGCGCCTGTGGCTGGGCGTTCAGGTGTCTTCTCTCCGTGATTTACACTGCTGTGGTGGGCAGCCTCTGGACAATCTTCTCATCCTGGCAACATTATTTCCTTGGATAGAAGTAGAATTATTGGGGCATGGGCCGTGTCCAGTCATGCATGGCTTAATGGTGGGGCCACGTTTGGAGAAATGCAGGGGGATGGGGTGATTGGGGTGTTGTGCAAACATCAGAGGGTGCCCTGACCCTAATGGAGATGGTAGAGCGTGCCACACACCCAGGCTGTGTGCGTGTACGTGTGTGTGTACGTTGTGTGTGTGTGAGGCAGAGAGAGATAGCCTGTTGTTCTTAGGGCTGTGGACAAAACCGTCTGAGATTCAATCAAACGCAAGAGAAAATGACACAAAGAAGAGGCTGTGGCCAGCGCAGCACAGCATACTGCTTTATAGTGAACGTTCACCTATGTGATTAGTATCTTTTAACTTTAGTCCTGCAGGGAAGAAGGATTACAAGGGAAGGCTACCTCAGTTCCAAATATTTTGGTCTCCATATGGCCAATGCCATGGGTTTCACAGTGGAATGTTCTAGAACAAGGATCATCTGATTCTGATCTCTCCTAAGGGGTGGAAGGGGGTGAAGAAGGACTCCTTAATATAGTTCCTGGTCTCCACCTGTCTTGGCACTCCCAAGGGAGGGAGGGACACATTTCAGATAGAAATCTTGCAGTTTTAGGTAACAGATGACCCAATTCACACGGACGTAAATAATAATAAAAGAAGCATTCAGGAAAATTCAAGGTTCTAGTGAAGCTTTATTATTTGAACAAGCCAATGGAACGGCTCTCTTCTGTGCCTTTCACCTCATCTTCTTAGCCTGAGGTTGGCTCTCCTCATGGGCACAAAAGAGCTGCCAGCAACTCCCAAGGCATGTCTGCTTTCCCATTCATAGTCAAGTGAGGAAAGAGAACATCTCTGCCTGTGGTTCCTGGAAGATCTAGGAATTATGGTTCCAGGGAGTCCCTGGGAAATCTCTGCTGGCATCTCCTTTGCTCAAACTGGGTCACATGACCAGTCCTGAACCAGTCACTGCTGAAGGACATTGTGTTGCTATCTGGCTTCAGTCATTCAGGGCCAACTCTGCTGCTGGTGCCATCAGTGACTCTCTAAGACGCAAGTGCTGAGTCGAGGGGGGGCAAAAAGCCTGGACAGGAAATAGGTATCAAGATGGAGCAGAAGGGATTCTGGGTGTCTGAGAACAGCAAATGTCCTTCATGTGAAAGTGTGAGAAAGTTCTGCAGATACTCTACCCACCTGTCCCTCAGGATGAACACTGTCAACTTTCAGCCCAAGGAGTTGGAACCTTCTGGAGTATTAGGATGGACATTACCTGCAATCCGTTGCTAATAACAGCTAAAGAGCTGAATTTTGTAAATTATTTCATGGTTTCATTATTTAATTGAGCTTATCTGAGGCTATCCCACATAATTTGGGGCTTCCAAATACAGGTGCTAGTCAACTTACCACAGGGTCACATCCCGATAAACTCATCATACGTTGATCTGTCATCAATCAAAAGCACATTTAAGGCACCTCACCTGCCAAACATGCCTACCTTAAACACACTCAGAACGCTTACGTTGGCCTATGGTTGGGTGAAATCATTTAGCACAAAGACTATCTTACAGTACAATGTTGACCAAGTCATGTCATTTATGGGCTGTTGTACTGAAAGTTTAAAAACAAGAATGGTTATCTGGATTATGCTATGGCACCGTGCTTAAGTTGAGAAATCTTAAGTTGAACCATCGTAAGTCGGGAAGCATATGTACTTTTCTGAAGTAGACAAGTAGTAGCTGCAGTTGCAGATACTCTGGGGGAATTCCATAGATTCTGCACCCTTTGTCTGAGCCGCCTTGGGTGGGCTGTGTCCTTTCACATCTTTGGTATATGTATATCCACATAGATCATTTTTTCAAAAAACGAAAAACAGATCCATGCTACACCTACTACTTGGTAGCAGGTCTTCTCACTCCAAGAACCCGAACATCACTCAATGGTTGCGTTACCATTACATGTATTCTGTTGTTCAGATGCACCATAATCTGATCTGTCTTCTGTTGCAAGCAGTATAAGTGGTTTCCAAGAGTTTGCTATTACAAGCAGCATTATTATGATGAATAATTTTGTTGATGAATCTCAGTGCACATTCAGGAATATCCCCTTAGGACATTTAACAGGGAATCTAAGGGCATGCTCACTTCTGAAGCATTTGGTATGCATAGGTGAATGGTCCTTCCAAAAAGTTATCCCACTTACTTTCCCCACTGGATTTTTTTGAGTGCCTATTTTCCCATAATTTCTTAGTATTTATTTTTATTTAAAAAAAATGTGTAGGAATTAATTTCAAGGCAGGATAAACCAGATAATATTCTGGTTCATGTTTCTCTAAACTGGTATCTGAGAAGAGTGATTATTTTATTAAAATATAGTTAATTTTAATTTCTTTTTGTTGACCTGGTATCAACTTAGGATTGATAAAGTTTTGTATTGTGAAGTTTCCTCAATGTTTACTTATGACAAATGAATAGAGAAAAGGGAAAGACAAGTCCATGAACAATGTGTGGATAATTCACTCGTAAAATCCTGCTATGGGGGAAAGCAGCGGGGGTGGGGGGAAGGTACATTGTCATCTTTTCAACGACCAGATTCATCTCTTTAAATTAGCTGCCAGTCGACACCAACAATTATTTTCAATGTTCAATTCTTTGCTGTTCCCTAAGTGTAAGGCTGGAAAGTCAGTTCTGTTTACTATCAAATACTTGCTATGTTGAATCCAGAATTTTGCATTTTATTGAATCCTCACTACAAGGTAGAAATTATTCCCCCCATTCTATTGAAGAAAACGAGGTCCCCAGAGGTTGAGTAATTTGTCCCAAGTTCACTTTTGTTTTTGTCTGCGAATTTTAATCTTCAAATTTGTGAGACAAGAACCCAGAAGGAAATTGGCGAGGCCAGCAGCCCGCACGAACCCCAGCTGCCAGCAGAAGCAGGGAACCTGCTGAATCAAGTACATAACTGGTCAGTGGGCAAAATCAAAATCAGAGCTTAGGTCCACTGTGTCCAAAACCTTTTCTACATCCACTGTGCCTCAAGGAGCCTTTTGGTTGTAGAGACAGACTTTGTGCTGCCCAACACCCATCCAATCTGGTCAAGCATTGCTGTGGTTTGGATCTGGAACACTCCCCAAAGGCTGATGAAGACTTGTGTGCTAAAGGCTTGGTCCTCAGGTGACAGTATTGGGGAGAGTGGAGCCTTTAGGAGGTGGAGCCTGGTGAGAGGTCTTTAGGTCATTGGGGGCGTGGCTTCAATGGGAATTGTGGGCCCTGCTCTTTCCTTTCTCTGTTTTTTGCTTCCTACAATGAGGTGAGCAGTTTGCTCTACCGCGTGCACCCTTTATGAGGAGCTTTCTCACTGCAGGCCCAAAGCAGAGGGGTCAACCCATCTGGGACCCGAACCTCCAAGACCATGAGCCAAAGTAAACCTTTTCTCTTTCTAGTTTGATCATCTCAGAGTGTTTGTTATAGTAATGGAGAGCTGACTAACACAGACAGCTCAGGGGAACAGCTGTGCCTCTGTCCCCGGCTGCATTTGGATCAGTTGTATTAACACCCCCTTTTCTCTCACTTCTTATTGTCCCTTCAGGTTCCAGGCAAATCAATGAAGAACATCAAGTACATGAACAAGGAAATAATAAACATCAAAAAAGACCTCATGCGAAGCCGGTGAGTGAGTCTGTAGGGAAAGACCCACAGACTGCCTGTCAGGATGAGCCTGCTGTGGGGGAGGGGAATCCTGAGTTTTGAGGTGACACTAGGTTCCCTGCTTCTGCTGGCAGCTGGGGTTCGTGCGGGCTGCTGGCCTCGCCAATTTCCTTCTGGGTTCTTGTCTCACAAATTTGAAGATTAAAATTCGCAGACAAAAACAAAAGGGAAGAGTGAACCCAATAGGATTCATTTAAACGAGAAGAGATAAACGTCTTGCGATATGGGAGGGGACCTGATAGTGTTATGGGGGGAGGGGGTCATCCAAGAAACTGAGGCAGGATGAAGACGCCCACATTCTACCCCCGATTCTTGTGATCAAGTCAGAAAGACTTCAGACACATCGCTCAGAGTGACAGGCATGAGTTTATTGAAGGGATAGCAAAAGGGAAAGGGGACACTCTCAAGGGAGAGAGTGGGTCCTCTCAGAGAGCAGAGGGACAACGTGCCTCTCCTACACTCTAGTTTTATTGGGGATAAGTTTCCAGAGAGTCTCTCCCAGGTCCACCCCTTGACTTTTGACTCACAGCAGGATGACATCAGACTTTCAAGTCCCCACTGCCATGACAACTCTAGGTCCCCTGGGCCCTCGGTGACCAGTTCTCATTGGATTCCTCACCATACATTCTTGCAGAGTTTATGGGTAGGAGAAATTATCCTTATCTTCCTGAGTTCCAGGATCTGGTCTTGAAAAGGGTCACCAAGATCTCCCGCTTCAGGGTAACTTGGGTTTTTCGTATCCATGTCATTTGGGGCCTGGGTGTCTCCTGCAGATAACAGGTAGCTTGATGAAGAGTGGGACGTATCCCGTTCACTGAAGCCAGGCAGGGCTGCAGGTAAATTGCTTTCTTGGAAATGCAGGGGTCAGCATGGGGGGGTCGGCACCGTGGGCCTATTTCATAGAATCATTCCCTAAACCTCGTGGTCTGTTCCCACCACTCATGTCTGCCTGACCCCCGTCAGAGGGAGGTGCCAATGAGTCCTTGCCAGATCCCAGTGTCCCCTCATTCCTCAATGGTCAGCAGAAGATTGACAGGAGGGTCAGCAGTCAGCAGCAGAGGACAGGAGCCCTGACCCACTGTGCTCTTCAGGGAGCATCTGCACTAGATGCGCCTCTACAGCCTCCCTCGGTCAGTCTCCTGCCTAGAGCCCCCTCTGCTCTCCATCCGGATGGGAATCCAGCTCAAGAGAGTCCTCACGTGCTCCAGAAATCTTCCCTTGGTACAACAGGTAATAGCAGAGAGTCAGATAGACTCGGCATCCATCACTGACCCTGCCACCTGCCAGTTGGTGACACCGGAGGAGTTATCTCACCTGCCTGTTTCTCTGTCTGCAAAATGCAAATAAAATAGGTCGTTGCGAGACTAGAGTGGGTCCCTTCCTGTGTCTCTGAGCTTCCTTCTCCAGCTCGCTCCTCATTCCTTCCCTCCTGGCCGTGTAAGCAAAAGAGATCCAGGAAAATAGGTTATTCATCTCTAAGTGGTAAGATGGGAGTGTTTTTCTTCCTTAACCCTTAACTCTTTCCTGAGAGCCGGAACATTCCAAAGTGGGTTCACAAAATGGGGCTTTTGGCAAAGCAATTCCAGGCAGAGTAGGAGCTGGAGACTTGGCACTCAACACCTGTGAGGTACGCTAGGACTGGTGACAGAGGCCATGGGGAAGGTCAGCGCCTCCTAGTTATCTCCCACTCTGAGCTGGACCAGAGCGAGGTGCACAGGGAGACCTTTCCTCCATCACCTCCATCATCTCCAGGTTCCCTCTCCCCACAGCCATCTCCATCCTTCCTCTGACGGAACTGATTCAGCCCAAGAAGGGACATGGGGTGGGGGGTAGGGAGGGGTGAAAGGGATCAGGGGATCAGGTTACAGAGAGGATCCCAGAAAGTGATGTTCCCTCTGACTGCAAGAGGGGAGGCTCTGTCAGCTCTTCAAATGTCCCTGGACAGTCACCGTCCAGTGGAAACAGAGTGTGAGCCATGTATGTCATTTTGAGTTTTTGACCCGTCACACTAAAAAGGGTTAAAAAAAAAACAAGTGGAAGCAATTCTAATACTAAATTTTATTTAACCCAAAATGTCCAAAATATTATGATTCAACATGTGATCAATATAAAATGGTATTTAATGAGACGTTTTTCATTCTGTTTCTGGTACATGATAAAAAGGAATGAAATGTTGAAAAATGATGATAGAAAACACATGGTGTTGCCGGGCACCGTGGTATGTGCCTGTCATCCCAGCGGCTCAGGAGGCTGAGGTGGGAGGATCATGAGTTCAAAGCCAGCCTCAGCAACTCAGCAAAGCCCCTAAGCCACTCAGTGAGACCCTGTCTCTAAATAAAATATTAAAAAGAGCTGGGGATGGGGCTCAGCGGTTAAGCATCCCTGGGTTCAATCTCCAGTACCAAAAAAATAAAAATAAATAAAGAGGAAAGAACAAAGAAAAGAAAACCTGTGGTATATTTCATACTTGGGAGCACATATTAATTTGGACCAGCCACAATTCAAGTGTCTAATAGTTGTTGTGGACTCAATTGTACCCGCTTGCCCTGGAAAAATTTCATATATTGAAGTCCTTGCCCCCAAAGTGACTCTAGCTGGAGCTGGGGCCATTGGAGAGGTGTTTAAGGTAAAATGAGGTCGTAGGGGTGGGACCCTAATCCAGTCTGACCAGTGTCTTGGGAGACATCAGAGATGTGTGCAGGGAGAAGGTCATGTTGGAGGACACAGCCAAGAAGAGAGCCCTCGGGAGAAACCAACCCTTGATCTTGAACTTCCAACCTCCAGAACCGTGAGAAAGTAAATGTCTGTGTTCAAGCCACCGGCTCTGTGGCATTCTGTTAGAGCAGCCCCAGAGGTCTAATAATAGAACAGTCTGCTCTGAGACCACCCTGCAGACCACACCCCCGCTGGAGGGGACCCACCGGGCTCAGCCTGACAGTCTCAGGTGGAGCTGAGCTCAGACATGACGTTTGAACTGGGCTCTCAGAATCAAGGGACCCTCTGTTCATTGTGGACATATTGGCCTCTACTCTGTAGGGATTAGTGAGGGGCGAGAAGCCAAGGGCCATCTGGGCATCACCGGGCAGCAGGAAGAAAGAGGAACCTCCCCACAGGGGTGCCCACTCTGTGCTCTGGGGTGCCTGGAAGATAATCCAGACTTTGCAGAGAAGTTGGATCGGACATGAGGTCCAAAACACAGATTCATCGCTTCATCAGGGACACCCACCCGTTAGAACAGACGCTGGCCGTGCACTGCATGACTACCACTTTGGTTCTCGCCAGCCGAATGTCATCAGCCCAGAGACCCAGTGACAAAGGCAAATAGGAATCTCCAGAGCCTAACAAGGGAGGGTCATTGGCCCACTCCAGCCACCGCTGCTAATGACATCCCTGCTGATAGCACCTGGATCTCCAGGTTCCACCTGCGGCTCAGGAAGCGGAGGATCACGAGTTCAAAGCCAGCCTCCCTGGTGGGAAAAGGCTGGGGATGTGGCTCCTGGATTCGATCCCTGGTCTCAACAAAATAAATGACATCAATTTGTAATTAAATAAATTATACAAGAAGATACAGATAACAGACACTAGAACCGTCCCCTCCTGGCTATTCTGTGGGCTTTGCTGTGGTCTAAGTTCTTGAGGCTTCTTTCTGATGGTGGCAGAATGTGTTCAGTGGACACCCTACAGGAGGAGCACCCCAGCAGGTCTCCTCCTAGCTCTGGGCTCACCGATGCCACATTGGAGCTTGAAATCAACCCCCACGGGAATATTTATGCAATGGAAATCAGCAAGCACTACAAATCCAGACTCAACAACCAGTCCCTGGGAGCTGGTTGTTGCCCATCCACCAGCACACCACTGACTTTCCCACTAACCCCGGAGACCTGAGCGGCTTGATGCAAAGGTTGTGCAGACCTCGGCATTTCCGCCACCTTTCAGTTGGCAAGCGGAGTCTTTGACTCCTGCCAAACACACTTACGTCGGCTCTGGACCACCTAGAATTTAACATCCTCATCAGACAAGCTTAGCCCGTCCAATGGCTGGACTCGAAGGATAAACCAGGAAAGGGCCAGAGAGAGAAATCTACCACCAAGAAACCAAGAAATGACAATAAAACGTACCACCTGGCCATGCTCCTGGATCCCACCTGCATTTTTTTTCTGAGACTAAATATATTTCATTATCTAAAAAAGAACTCCTAATATGAGAGTTCAACTATTATAAAAAAATAAAATCAATATTTTTGCTGGTGTAATGCATTTTAGACACAAAACTATACAAAGTATACTTTTTAAAAAGTGCATACATATCTTAAATGATATTAAAACAGAAATATCCAAATTTAATGAGGCAGTGGTTTTTTAAAATTATTTTTTATTGGTTCTTTTTAGTTATACATGACGGTAGAGTCCATTGGGATCTAATCATACACGCATGGAATATATCTTATTCTAATGAGGACCCCAGTCTTGTGGATGTGCACATAGTGAGCTTCACCGTCCACCTGCATTTAAGGGGGCAGCGATTCCCCTTCAGAAGGAAAGGTCCTGCTTTCTGGGGACAGTCACCTCATGGAGAGGTGGACTCCCTCCCCACCCTGCCTGTGGGCCCATCTCCCGGGGTTCAATGAGGCGAATTTTTAGGAAAGAAGATGCTGCCTTTTTCACTCCCTGTTCTTTAAAATCTGTACTACCTCCTAATAAAGTCCAGCCCACCTGGAGCCAAACACCCTGACCATCTTTGGATTTTTATTTAATACTCCAGCCCCCTTAGAATTCAATTGCACCATCCCGGGCTTCACGGCCAATTGAATACGATGCTAAAAAAGAACGGAACTCTAGCTGCTTCCCTCCTCGCCTGTCCCTGCACCTCCCAGATGTGGGGTGGCACTAAGCTGCACGCTCTGCATGCCCCCAAACAAGCAAACTGTGGGACCTGAGCCGTGATTTACCCATAGCAAAGTT